CTCTATTTGGTCATGCTCTTTCTATTTGTTTTTCTGATTAGGCACTGTATTTTATCTTCGATGTAGCTTTCTGAGCGTGCAAGCAATAATACAAGAAGCAAATTTGTTTCGCTTTTGTTTGCATCTTTTATTATGAAGGGTAAATTCGGTTAGAAGAAAAGTTGCATAAATGAATAATGAAGTTAGGCAAGCCTTTCTCATATTTTTGTGATGTTTATCCATCCTGTACAACATGGTTATATTATCTTAACTCAAAGAAAGTCATGAATAACTTCAAAGTATATAATATAATGAAAGAATAAAAAATGAAAGAAGTGGATGTATTGAAAAGAGAATTGCTGTACTTAACTGCTTATATACTGTTTATGTTATTGGATACGATTCAGTATATTGCATTTTACTTTTACATTTAGGGGGAAAAGTGAATGTGCACATACTTGAAAACATGTAAAAGTTTTTTATTTATCATTTTATATACACCAGAGTATCATCTATCATGTGATTGAATTTTGTGTATTAAAATACTTTTTTGGGGAACAGTAAGTTGCATACTTCAACATTCTAAAGTGTGCATTTTATTGTCTCATATACACTAGAGTTAAATACATCCCATACGGTTCTCAGTGAAAAAGTCTTGTTTCAAAGTCACCCCTTTGTCTGCACTATTTCAGTCTCATTTTAGTCCCTTGCCATATGCATTAGCGCTGTATATTACGTTAGAAGCACTTCAATTTCATATTACGAAAAGCCCCTTTTGTGAGATGTGCCATTGAGACACAGATCTATTACATTTACCCCAACCTCACATTAGATTAGTGTTTAGAGAAGTATGTAATACATTTAACAAATGGGGTGATTTCCCTTAAGAGTGTGGGATCAATGCACTATTTCCCAGTAATTTCCAGTATTATTCATCAAATTCTCTTTACAAATATTTAACAATATTTAAGAGGGGTGGTGTACAGTGTAGTTCTAAATGCATGGATGCAACCTGGGATACAAAAGAATGACAAACATAAATGGTTTTTAGAGAGGGATTCATGTAATGATTTTGATCAAATCTAGCTGGATCTGCGGATTTGCAGGTACTCAATATTTCATGCCTGCATATTTCTGACACATACTTGGCCAATTCCCTTGATTGGCAATGTGTAAGTACATCTTGATAAATCTCGTCATCACCCAGTCGTAATTGAACAGATTCAGGACATGAAGCTGCATGTGATGGAAAAAACCAAAAGGATAGGAGAAATTGAGTATGAAAGGGGCTAAGAGGAGGAGAAATAAAGAGAGAGAGAGGGAGAGGTATAGGGAGAGAGAGAGAGAGAGAGAGAGAGAGAGATTATATAATGGCTAGAGATAGTTGGGTCTGCAAATAGAGAAGGAGAGACCAACTCAGTCATGTAATGAGAGAGAGAGAGAGAGAGAGAGAGAGAGAGAGAGAGAATTATAGAGAAATGAGAGAAAGTTCAAGAAAGGGACAAAGAATTAAGTCAATCAATGAGAGAAAAGAGATATTGGACAGGCAGAAGGGAGTGATTGATAGATAGAGATATATATATACAGAGAGTGTGAAAGAGGGAAAAGAAGAGAGAGAGAGAGAGGGAGGGAGAGAGAGAGATTGAGAGATAGAGGATTAGAGATGGCTGAAAGATTGAGAGAGGCAGAAAGAAAGAAATGTTGCCAATTTAATAGAAGTTGATAAGGGGTACCTGATGATCCATGATTTCCATCCAGTAGAGGATCGTTGAAGAGGGAGAAGGCAGCCGTGCAGGGATTTTAAATGCCCTTGTTCTGTAAATGACTGATGGATGCCGCATTTTAAGTGGCGGGGATGAAGTAGGGATGATATTAATTAACCTGCGCAGATGGAATGAGAGCTTCATTGACAGGTAGATTATTGCAGGCATACACATGTCGTTGGCAAATGGTTATTGCATTAAAATTCAAAATTGTGGTTTCATCATAGACCTAATATGCACAGAATGGTGAAACGAGGTAAATATGTAGAAAGAGACATTTTTGTTATTGCTTGAATCAATTGCCTTCAATAAATCACACCTCTTTGAAAGGATTAATACTTCAGTTTTAAATTGTGAAGGCCACTCGGTGTAGAATGGAATTCAAATCATATAAAAGATCAATTTGAAAGTAAATCTTTTGCCATGCTTTTAAGGTCACTTGAATTTTCTCCATTTTCAATTGAATGACCATAATCCTTAAATTCTGTTGAAAAAGCAATATATGTCTAGTCAATTTTAATCTATTTTTGCATTAATTTCTTTTTGTTGAGCCTCGTGTGAATTTCAATATATGACTTGAAATTGAGTGTAAACTTGTGTGAAAAGTAGTTTTTGCTGTCTTTGGGAATAAGTCCCATCAAAGAACTTAATTTAAAGATTCAGTTAATATGCCAGACAAGTTATCCGAATGTTTCTAAATACACTGTTTTCATTTACACATTCCTTAAAGCTGAATGCTGAAACACAGTAGCTGTAGTTGAACAGCTTAAATTGTCTATACATGTTCAAAGAAATACCTTAGAACCCATCTTGCCCCTTCAAACCATCACTCTTACAAATCAAAGCAAAAACCAAATTAACCCATCACGGAGGTGAAAGCATCTATAGGGCAAGAGAAGTAACAAATTGGACAAAATGAGTCCCTTATCTGATGGGAGCATAGTGACAACCTGAGCAAGTATCCTTCTATCGGCGGGCAATCTTAACTCAAGAGCTCAACTGTCAGGACTCCTCAGCGCATCCGATGAAGCAGGGATGATTCTTATCTCCATCTTAAGGTGCGGTACTGCCCGAGAAAAAAAGCCCAAAATGGGAAAGAAGTGGTAGTAAACGAGAGTTGTCTCTGGAATTTCAACTGGGAGCTGTCACCCAGGAGATGATAACCATCTATCATGAAAAAAACCTCCATCTCCGTCTTCCAAGGGATGTGCATCTCCTGCCATCACCATGACGATAGAGACTGTTGCTCAAATTAATTTGCAGGAGCTTGCCCTTAGATGCGCAGCTTGCTTAATGTCTCCTTCTCTTGTTCTCACCTCATTAAACCATGGCAATCAGTGCTTGTCGGCATTAATCAACTCGTGCATTCATAGTCTCAAGAGAGTGAGAGGCAGCCAGGATTAACCATCTTGGCTCTTTTGGGGGTGTTAGATGAGAGGCAGGGACCTTAATGCTAGTTTAAAGGGATTATGGTCTTTCAATTTAATCCAGTTTGCTGCAGAAAATGATTTTGATGTACATTCAAGTTAGATAACCATCAATATTTACACCTTATCAATGTGGATCTCTAATAGAACAATAATATACGTAGACAAGTCGACAATCAGTAGACAAGAAAATCTGAGCTAAAGTAGTAATAAACTAATAAGAGTGCTGCCAAGGATTGCAACCATTGTAACAAATTGAAAGTAATTCTTGACTTCATACATCTGAATGATGGGAACTTTTGGCAGATAGAGATTTCTTTCATAAAGGAGACATGATGGCTTAGTGGTAGAGCTGGTGCCATGTAGGCAGGTCCCAGATTCAAAATCAGGTCAATAAGCTAGTCTTTATCCTAATTTGCAAGTCCATCAGATACAAATTTAACACTTAGGTCCCCTTGTTGCTTCTTACTTAAAAAAAAAGGCCATACTTACTCCCTCAGCAGAGAGGTTAATATATCATAAATCACCGTTTCTTGGTTTGTATTTATTTCCATTTATAATTAACAAGTAAAATAAACATAACTTCATCAAATTTTTTCAAATGACAACATCAGAGTTTGAATTGTCGATCACATGTACCGTAATTAACGGTGTATTAACCGCACCTTTTTGCCGCCGAAAAAAATTCAAAGTCGGGGGTGCGGTTAATACACGAGGGCGGTTTATACAACGTTAATTACAATATATGATATATGCGGTGCCTGTTGAATGCAATCTGAGATGAATTTCATGCCATGGAGGTGCATTCCCATGCACTCAATCTTCACTATGTTTTCATCTTCAGTAGATAGCCCTCATGTAAAAATACACTGTTCTGTCTTAAGAGGAAGGCAGTGTGGATGTGCTTATTTTTTTATTGAGCACTTGTAAGGCTAATGTGGTCCTCAGTGTAAAGAAAACCTCGTTTTGGCTGAAGATGCACATTTGAGAGTGGCAAGGTAATTGTGATTTTTATCCACTAAAAATGTGCATGGAATCTGTAATCTTTACTTTAATCCACATAGTGTTTGCAGGGGTAGGTTGGTACATGTATACATTTCATCCTGTATAGGAATTAAGTTGTTGACCTGCTTTTTGAAAAGGCTACATTTGATTTTTGATATCTAATACTCTTTTTTCTGCTGTGATTATGTACTGGAAAATGTCACCGTATGTTTCAATGAAGTACAAATCTCACATTGAATAGTTCTCTGATGAAAAACAGAGCTTTATGAACTGCTTTGACCAAGATGTCATTCACTTCAAAAAATATAAATTTGAATTTCATCAGATGCATCAGCAGATAAAGGTATAAGTTACATTTGAAGTCATTACTTGAGTAATATCAAAGTAAATAATTTGACGCAATTAGAAACAGATGCCATCATTTAACATTTAATAACATGGCATGTTACCTGTAAAATTGTCTTAATTTCTGTGTCATCAATCTCACTCAGTAACTGCTAGGAATGTTTCTCCCTTTCTGTAAATTACCAATTGATTTCACAGCCACAGGCTGCATCTTTTGTAGATGGTAGAGCCGATTCGAATGTCAGGGTTATTCCTTTGATCATAGACAACGTGTTCAGATTGATTGTACCTAACGTGGTGTCGCTACCACCTGCCTCAAGCTTCACATGTATCATGGTGTTTGGAGAAGTGTTTGTATATTCTGTATGTGACTAGTTATTGGTTGATGACAAGTGAAGATGTATTTGTTTCCGATCGCTGTAATCATTATCATTATGTACACGAATATTGAGTGTAATCATTGTTAAGTCATCACCATTATATGATCGTCATCTTAAACTTCATCATCATCATCATCATATGCAACATAATCATCATAATCGTTGTCGTCATCCTTACCATCATCATTGTGGTCGTTGTCATCGCTTTCATCATCATTACCATCATCGCCATCATCATCATCGTGGTCGTTGTCATCGCTATCATCATCGTCATCATCATCATCATCATCAGTCCATCGTTATCTGGAAAGCTTTATTACCTCTGACATATTGTGACAGAGGCTTAAAAGCATATTTCTTGATGACCTCAGCAAAACTCTTTGAAATCATCAGAGGCCTCTACTACACCCCCTTATCACACAGCCTCAAATAAAGCTATTTAGCTTTTGATCATTTTGTCATTTCATTATTCCATTTTATCTGAGCCATCTTTATGTTCTCTTCCTTATCATGTAACCTCCCTCCCCAGTGGGATGGCCGCAAATCTCTTTCATGTAACTTCCTCCCCCAGTGGCATTCCGCACATCTCTTTTAGATGCGATCGCCCCATCCCCATTCAAACATCCGTTTCCTCTCCCGGCCTTCCTTCCTCTTTCCAAAGGTGTTAAGGGGCTGGCTCTAATGTTTAAGGACTCACTCCAAGCATCCATTCATTATTCTCAGTAGGACATAGAGCGAGACATGAAAGTCGGGGTAATACAACCGCAGTGATAGCAGGTGCTTTTTCAGCTGCAATGATCAAGTTCTTGGCAAGCGAGGAACCAGCGCTCATGTTGATTGACTCCCCGTGTCAAGTGGCATGGCTTAGAAGGGCTTGGGTTTCTCTCACCTGTGCCCAGGTCAAGATGGTAGTGAACAGGGCCCTCAAACGGGGACAAAATCTGACAAAAGGGGCAATACATTACCCCTCTTAACCCCCAATTGCACCCCTCTCCCAATTCTATTCTATTAACATTTCACTGCTTGAAATGAGGCTCTTGATCGATTTAAGAATTATTACATTAATGTATCAACTCACCTGCACCTAGGTCAAGATGGTGGTGAATGCCCTGGAATGGGAACAAAGGGGCAATTCATTACCCCTACTTACCCCTCATCCTACCCCTATTCTGTTAAACATGTATTTCATAGCCTGAAAGTAGGGTTCGGCCCTGGAATTGGGCCCTACCCTCATTTCACCCCACCCCTCATTCCACCCCCACACCAACATACCTTATTCACTGCATGAGTAGGACTTCTGACTTCTGAAATACATTTACATTTATGAATTTGCCGATTCAAAGTGAAGGCCATGAGTTGAAAATCAATAAATTCACTCTGCCAGATTTTTTATGTGTAAGAGGATGGACCTTGAATTTATAGAATTCCTGGAAATAGAGAGAGAGAGAGAGAGAGAGAGAGAGAGAGATCAGGAGAGAGGGAGAGAGAGAGAGAGAGAGAGAGAGAGAGCATGTTGAAAGGTGATAAATGGGTGACCATGAATTTGAATGATTATTTTTATCCAAATGCTGTCATTTATTTGTTTATTTATTTATTCATTTATTTATTGATGCATGTCCACAATTCATTGGAGTAAACATCACATGAAAAAGAATATAATATAGCAAATCATTTTCAATTTTACAATCCATTTGAATTGACTTCACATGGAAAAGAATATAACAATGTTTTTATCAAAGAGAAGTTGCAACTATTATACAGTTTAAAGAATGAACACACAAAGCTGATGAAACATAAGCATAGAGCTTGAATCGTTACAACACATATATAATATATGAATCAAACACAAGTAAGAGGATTTGCAGGCAGAAAATGCCATATTCCCTCTCTAATTTTAAATCCAATATTCCTCTTCGAGGTACATGTATAAAGTTAACCTGATTTAATATAGGTTAAACTTTCAACATCCAGTTATAATTCAGTGAATTATATCAAGGACAAGGTTTTAAAGATGTGTATTCCAAATGGATCACAAAGTCTCAAAATAAAGTTCGATTGATATTCATAATTGTAAAAATGAATTTTTTTTATTTTCAATTTCTCTGAGTGAGGTTCAAGTACTGATCGGGTTGGATCACCAAGTCTCCAAATAAATTTTGATTGATATTCATAATTGTAAAAATGCTTTCTTTCTTTCTATTTTCAGTTTCTGTGAGTGAGGTCCAAGTGCTGAAGGAGCAGCTCCGGGTCCTAAGTGCAGAGATGACCAGTCTAAGACAGGCCCTTGGGTTTCACCAAAGACCACTACCAGGCTCACATTCAAGACACGTCATCAATAACCAAGGTTTGTAGGACCGATGTCTTCAGGAGTTCTTGTGGTTCTGTCTGTAAAGAGTTAGATTTAGCTGTTTCAAACTTGATGTTGATATTTTAAGATGTGATTCTCAAAAAATGTCACTAATTACACCCTCTCTAATTGTATATGAAAAACAAATCTAATGATACAAACAAGAGAGCGAAAATGTCATTGCTGAAATTACTGAAGTGCTCACGGTGAAATGTTACTGATTACACCCTCTCTCTAATTGTATATAAAAAACAAATCTAATGATACAAACATGAGAGAGAAAATGTCATTGCTGAAATTACTGAAGTGCTCACCGTCTGACATTTCAAGAATCCATGCGTCGCAAAGCATGACTGATGTTCGAATGAAACAGGAACAATACCTTCAATTTAATTTGCTCTTCCTTTTCTATCAGCACAATAGGATAATCCAAGAGTCTCTTCCCCTACATCCTTGTATTTATCCTAGGAGACATTAATTAAAGCTGTGATAATCAAAATGCCAAGATGACAAAGAGTGAAAAAAATTGTGTCACGAGGCATCTCAATGTATTTATGTACCGGTGGCACATAGTGACTTGTTCACATATACACTTATGCCGCAGTATAAACCATGCATGCAGCAGTGTGCGGTTTTGTGTGTACTAGATGAACAAGGAGGGGGATGAGAATAGAAGATGCATGCTTTGCACCCAGGGGAGGTACTCGGCTTTGGTTTGTACGGGGGTGTGCCTCTTAAGCCTCAAAACCACTACACATTTGTAACGGTAATTTTGCGGTAAAGCCCATTTGTTCACAATTTTTAATTTTTTTTTGTGAAAAAATGGACAAAAATAGGACTCATGTTTAGGGATTTTTGTGTGAAAAAGTAACCCATCAGAGCGGCACACCCCCGTATGTCTTAATATGTGAGTCCCCCCCCCCCCCTGAGGCTTTGCAACAAAGGTCCTATGCATAGTCACTTGTCTATGTGTTTTAAGATACAAATATGTGAAGAGCAGTATGCTCAAGTATGTCCCCCGCCCCCGTCATTAATGGTTTACCAAGTTATATGTGACCAAGACATAATGTGGAGAAAAGGAAAGCACATCCACTGAGGTTGTGCATGCTGAGATGGTATACATTCATTGATTAGATTTGAAGGAATGAATGTTCATTCTCTAGCCATGCATAATGAAGTTATATTGCTATGAAGATGACAGACATCCTTGAAAATATTGTCGTAAGTGAATAAAGGATCCCAGAGATTTTCATGATTGCGATCACTCTGTAAAATGAACTTCAATGTCATGCACAAGTAGATATTCTCCAGCGATAATGAAGTTATGTTACTGCCAAGATGACAGACATCCTTGAAAATTCTGTCTTCAGAATAAGAGAAATATATGTCTCACAAAATTGAGATTTCATGATTATATATTCAGAATGTGAAATAAAGTCCATGCTCATGCATGCTCAAGTCGATGTTCTCCAGTGATAATGAAGTTATGTTGTGTATGGTACATATGTACCAAGAGAACAGACTTCCTTGAAAATCTTGTCTTCAGCTAAAAAAAAAAAAAGGTTTCCAGAAAATTGAGGTCCTTTTGATTTTCATCAGTAAATGTCAGTTCATAATCATGTATAATTGAATATCAGGGTTATCATTCAAAGAAACAAAATATAACTTTTTATCATAAAATTTGAATAATCAGTACAACAGCATCAGTACGTGTCCATTTGAATGGTGATACATATTGCTAATGAAAAGCCTGCAATGATCTATAGATGAATAATTAGGTCAGGGGTATCATAAACTTCCCACCAACAATTCTCCATTTTGGAGATGACAGTGACATTGAAAGATTTAATCTTGAAATTGAAGAAAGAAATCAGTTTATGAAATATAGTAAGTGATTTGAAATAGTATAGAAGTGAAATATGCAGGAAATGGGTGTAAATTGGAAAGATAGGATTCATGTTTGAAGTAATCCATATTCTTTTTTTGTAATATCTAGGTTAATGCCCATCTCATATGAAGTTAACAAATCTCAATAAAAGGAGATATTGCCTTGAAAGTTTGTAAGGTTTTGATTTTTCAGAAGCAAGGGTTACTACAGACTACAATACTCATGGAAATATGACATTAAATGTACATACAGTGTATAGGTAAATGACTGAAAATAAAGAGAAGTTTTGTAAGATTTTGGTCTTTCAGAAGCAAGGGTTACTAGAGACTAAAGCACTCTTTGGAATATGACATTACATAGGTAAATGACAGAAAATAAAGAGACTGATAAGTACGTATACATGATAACTGCATTTTTAGGCCCATTTCCATAGTCAAACCTGCTTTAGTGAGTAGTGAACTCCAGTATTGAAAGATTTCCAAAATATAAAATTGTTTGTTGAACGCCACTGACATCAACGTTTTGATTGGCAAAAAAGCTGCTGTATACCCCCAAAATTATGACAATAATATAAGTAATGATAATGATGTGGATAATGGTCATTATATAGTGCTTGTAGATGTCATCAATGGAGTTAAAATACCCACAGTTGACCAAGCCTCCAAAGTGTTGGATGTATACATAATAATTTCCGAATAGGTATATTTTCTGTCTCAAGTTAAATTATCCTGCACAATGGCAATGATTTAGCTGTAGGAAATTTGTTCTGTCACAACCATGAGCTGATTACAAGTTATCATATATATAATGTATTCCTTGCGTCATCAACTTCCAGATTACCACCTCACCTTTTGTAATAATTATGCTTATTTTAACCCAGCAATACTTTTTATCTTACCCTTTATTTCAGTTTCCTTACAATTTTTTATTGATCTTATTCAGTTACACCTTGACTTCTTCTCAAGTGTGAAATAGGATATCAAACTGCCGATTGTAAACATTTACCGAATGTTGTGAGCTATTCTCCGAGCGTAGTGTAAAAAATAATCACACCATGCTGTGATGTAGCATCAGAGTTTGGAAACTTGAAATTACGTTACGCAGGACCTGTTTCGTTACCATAGCAACGGCATGCTACATTAGCATTCCGTCAGAGCATTAAATTAAAAGGTCACCTTGGCAAGGTTATCGCTCCAAACTATGTTCAAATTTACCCAATGTCTGAACATTCCAGCATGTTTAAGTACCGGTAGTGGAGTCTATTCCGGGACTGGCCCATGCATGCAGCTCCTCAGATTTTACATCTTGATGTTTGATCTGGGAATCCGGAAGAAAAGAGATTAGGCACGAAGCATTAGAAAGAACCCTCGCCGCGACGGTTGGGTGTTGGCAGGAGTGTTCAAAAGTTGCAGGTGTCCTGGGCAAATCTTACAAGTTGGTACCAAATCCATTGACTGGAGTGTAATCTGTTTTCTTTTGGGGGGAAGAAGTGAAGTGAGTAATTCAACGTTGTTTTGGTTTGTACAGGTGAAGTTATGTAGCTAAAGGATTTTGAGAACTATAATGAATAATGTTGTAGGGGTTTTGGGCTGGAGCTCTTCAAGAGAAACTAAATCCCTTTTGACATAAGCAGCTTAAGAACATAATATTTTTGATTGACTGGGTTGTTTTCGATACTCTTCATAGTTTGCTTAAAGTATAAATGAACATTAGAAACTGATTTCAATTCAGGAAAAAAACAATATTACATGTCAAAAATGTAGCTTTGAAAGCTTGTTAATCTGGTAATAACACCTAGCAAAACACAAGGAGAAATAATTCATGTTTAATATCCAAACAGCTAGTCTCAGCCTTGCAAGAAGTGCAGAATATACAAAAGGAAATTTTGATTTATCACTTCGAGCCTGAATAGATCCAGGGCCCAATATTTACAAACACAATAATAAGCCTGCCCTCCCTTCTACCATTAGGCGTGTCTGCACTATCTCGAGATTGCCAAATATCCAGCTATTTTGAACTATCCCGATCGAAACTATCCAGCTATTTGCGTCTTCATTAGACCGAAGTGGCAAATTAGCTGGATAGTTGGTCGGGATAATATCCCAAGATATCTCGGTCTAGTTTGCAAAATATCCTTCTATTTCCGAACTAGCGGGATAGTTTGCGACCGTCTTCATTAGACCGAAGTACGGAGTCAATTATCCCGATCCCATCATGCACAACGATTTCCGGTTCGCACATGCGATCTATACCGCTCAGCGCTGACCTCGCAACCACTGACCTCGAGTAAACACGGAAAACCGCAAACTAGACCGAGATATCTTGGGATATTATCCCGACCAACTATCCAGCTAATTTGCTACTTCGGTCTAATGAAGACGCAAATAAGCTGGATAGTTTGCGATCGGGATAATTCAAATAGCTGGATATTTGGCAATCTCGAGATAGTGCAGACACGCCTATAGTGGCAGATTTGTATTAGATGTACTTATAATAAGTTGTAATTAAAGATCTTTGACCTGAGAATCAATACTGATTTCCCTCTTGCCAATGCATGTGCAGCTTTGCCTTTGATAAATTAACGCTCTATTCTTTGGAGGAAAAAAGGTGTAATCGACATACAATACTACTATTCTTTTTGTAATTAAATGGAGAATATACAAGTAGAAGGAAAAATCCTTTCAAGATGGCAAAGTGGGCGTGGTCTATAGAAGGAGTACCATGATCTGATCACAAGCAGGGTCTATCATAAAAGTCTATATTATAAGTATAGTCAAATTTAAGGGTATTCATGTTTTCTCAAAAAAGTAGTACGTACACCTTTCAAGCCATAAAAATGCATAGCAATTATATTTCGCCAAACTAGTTATTAAACATTTTGTAAAGAGCATGTAATTTATAGGTGATATTTATAGGGTAGATTACTAAATATCCAGTCTTGAATGATATCCACAGAAATTATGACTGAAAATAGGTACTTGGGAAATAATATATGCCTTTTACAGCGCCATTTAAGGTCAAGGTTGAGCTCCCCGTGGTCAGAAATATATTTTTGAAATCACCTTGGTGAATTAACTTTAATAATCTGAAATCACCCCAAATAGTTTCC